TTGTTGTTGTTACTATTGTAAATGGGCTTACTTTCTTTATTTCTCTTTCTGTTAGTTCATTATTTGAGTATATAAATGCAACTGATTTTTGGAAATTTACTTTGTATCCTCCAACATTACTGAAATTATTAACCAGCTCTAGCAGTTTTTGATTGAGTCTTTAGGTTTTTCTATATATAGCATCACGTCACCTGCAAATAGGAAAAGATCGACTTCATCTTTTCAAATCTGAATGTTCTTTATTTCTTTCTCTTGCCTGATGCTCTGGCTAGTACCACCAGTACTATGATAAATAGAAATGGTGAGAGTGTGCATACTTGTCTTGTTCCTGTTCTTAAGGGAAAAGGCCTCAGTTTTTCCTCATTTGGAATGATACTGGTGGTGGGCTTGTCATAGATAGCTTTTGTCATGTTGAGATACTTTCCTTCTATACCTAATTTGTTGAGAGTCTTTATCATGAAATGATGTTGAATTTTGTCAAATGCTTTTTCAGCATTTATTGAGACAATCATATGGTGTTTGTCCTTGAGTTTGTTAATGTGATGTATCACATTTATTGACTTTCTTATTTTGAACCAACCTTGCATCACTGAGATGAATCCCACTTGATCATGATGTATAATTTTTTAAATGTGTTGCTGTATTCTGATTGTTAGCTAATATTTTGTTGAAGATTTTGCATACTCTAAATGTGAATGGATTAAACTCCCCCATTCAAGAAAAAAAAAAAAAAAAAAAAAAATGTGCAACTCTGAGACAAGCTAGAAGACTATCCACAGGAATATGATCTATAGTAGCAAAAACTGGAAATAACCAAATGTCTGTCAATAGAACAGATAATTAAATTGTAAAATTTCATATAATGGAATACAAAGTATATAAGAGAAAACTATGAATCAAAATAGCTTTACATATATCAGTATAGATGGGTATCAAAAACATGTTAAAAAAGAAGCAAATTACTGAATACATACAGTATAATACCACGTATATAAAGTTAAAAAACATACAAAAACTAAATACACAGTCTAGGAATATATACATGTAATGAAACTATAAATAAAAGCAAGCAAATCATAAACAAAATTAAGCATATTAGTTACTCTTTGAAGAAGGGAGGAGAATTCTATTAGGAAGTACATGTAACCAGTAAGTGTACACAGAGGATTTTAAAGACATAAGGGCAATCCTCTATTTGCTGAGTGAATAAATATGTGGTTTTATTATTTTTTCAATATTTAAGCATATACATTACATATCCTTTTGTGTGTCTGAAAAGTTTTATAAATTTTTAAAATTCTGCACACACTGATCAAAACTATTGGAAAAATTTATTTATATGATCGAAAACTAGGAGATATAAAAAGTAAATTTTTTAGAAGGGCAATGGCATTGGGGTAATATTTTCCTCATTTTAACATTTTCTTTAATATCTTTTACAATGAACATTATTTTCTAAGGCATTTTTAATTACTATGGCAAACACCTACCTGATCACTAAGCAAAAGCTGATTCCCTCCTTGATACAAAGCATCACAAAGCATGTCCACATCATTATTCAGTTTGGACAGAAAGAAAGAATGTTCTTGAGCAGACTTTCCCAATTGATCTTGTACTAAGGAAACATCCTGTTTCAATTTCTCAGCCATTTTCTGTAGGTTTTCATGGGTTATAAACAATTCTTTTTTCTTATTCTCTCCCTCTAGAAGTTGATAAAGTCTAAAATGTAAAAATAAAAATTACACGGAAAAATTTTCAAGTCAGTACAGTTTTCAAAGTTAGAAGTTAGTACTGGGGCATTTGTGAGGATAGCTAAGTAACAACTTAAAAAAAGCACTTTGTGTGCTGCTAAAATCAAGCAACTGAAACCATTCCAACTACAATACTGTGTCAGTACAGAAATATATATTCTAACTACTGCATAAGGAATATACTCATATATTCGAACTACTGCATCTGATTCTCCAGTTTCCACATCTTTCAAGTTTTAGACATAAAATCTTCTGGACTTTAACTGCCATTAATCTACTTCAAACAAAGTGGTACTTCAGAGATACTTCCCAAGAAAAGGTTTCTTTCACAGAACATGACTATCATGAAGTAGAAACAACAATGAGCTTGAAACAGAAGACCTAGGTCTGAGTTCTCTGTTATGTGAGACCTAGGGCAAATCCATGAGACTTAATTTCCCCATCTTAATACCTACCTATTTTACAGGATTCTGTCAGGATTAAAAGAGAAAACCTGAAAGTGAAACATGTAAAATGCCAAAAAATAATAAAGAACTACATAAATAGCTATAAATAATAGTAAACTTTTGCTACTCCAGTCTTGTCCCTATCTGGTTGGCAAATTACAATCTTGATGAGCCATTAGACCACTTTAACACTCCAAACACTAAAAGCAGAAAAATCCATCATTCTATAGGGCAAAAGAAAAAATCTGAGGCAGCACTTTCCACACTTATTTAACAAAAAGGATCTGCTCTCTTTCCTTAAAAAAAACCAAAAAACACACATATATATGTTATATGTTATATATATGTTACAATTTGTATATATATATATATATATATATATAATGTTTTAAAAAAAAAAAAAGTTGTTAACATACCCTTAAAACTGGTTTATGCCCAGGGCTGCCAATTGTGGTCCTGTGGGATGTAACTACACAATTCCAGGGGGCACCATTCACAGATCATGTCAATGGCACCCCTTGAAATTGTGTGATGAGGGAGCCCTGTCCAAGTCCCTCATTTTATAAATAAGATAACAAAAGGATTAGATAATTTTGCTTTAGTCCTGGAGGAAAATGAGGAGTACGATCCAGAGTTTTGATGTCTTAGACTACTTTAGCCGTCCAGTTGTAGTATCCCCATACCGTCAATTGCTTAGATATCCAGAAAAAGTTTGGGAGTTAACATTCATTCTTAATGATTTACCTATCCAGACAAAGAAATGAAGTCTTCTCCCCTCTCTACCACCACCTTATCTAAAGGCACACAATCTCCTGCCAAGCAGTACCTCCTATACAACAAGCTGTATTCAAATTTCCTGCCCCAATTCTAAAATAAGGTACCTAAATAACGGTGCCTAAAGGGAATAAACCTTGTTTATATTCATTCCTCCAAACCATCCACCTCAGCTCTAAAGTAGCCACTTTCAGATCTAACATGAATCGGAGAGAGAGCAAAAAATCAAAAAGGGGGGCCAGCCTGTGGCTCACTCGGGAGAGTGCGGTGCTGATAACACCAAGGCCACAGGTTCGGATCCCATATAGGGATGGCCGGTTGCTCACTGGGTGAGCGTGGTGCTGACAACACCAAGTCAAGGGTTAAGATCCCCTTACCGGTCATCTTTTAAAAAAAAAAAAAAAAAAAAAAATTAAAAAGGAAAAAGAGGCACATAAAGAAATGTAGAAGAGAACAGAAAGGCCAAAAATGGAGTGCAAAGAATTCAAACTTCCACAATTTTTCAAACTCTCCCTAGTATTTTACAAAAATAAAAGGAAAAAAATTACTAAAGAAACAATAGAGCACACATACCTATGAGTAGAATGGTCCTTGGTATCAATGGTATTCCTTGGATTTATCTGCTTAGAGACTGACGGATCTGTTAACATTTCCAATCTCTGGTAGAGCATCTTGTTCCTTTGACCAAGTTCTTGAACCAAATTTTCAAGCTGACGATATACATCCCAATGCTTTCTCAATTCAATTTCATATGATAACTGTAGAAGTTCAAATGACGCCTTTTGCTTTATCAAGTGATTTAATACTAACTCTTGTCTTGCTGTATAATAATCTTGTTTAGCAATCTGCAAATCAAAATCTCCCTTTACAACTGGCATATTCAATAATTGGGCATTCTCTCTTACCACAGCAGGCAAACTTTTGTCTTTTATATGAATGATTTGTTCTTCAAGTTTCAGAATCTCACTGTTCAAGCTAGAAATTTTAGCATCCAAATTTTCTTTGCCAACAGCCTACACAAAGGAAAGCAATTACATTTCAAACTGTAGGTTTAAATTTAAAAGTTTTAAAATTATTTTCATTTTAGGTACTCGCATAATATGCTCAAAGAATAAAAACTAATTTAATATTAGCATAAGCCAAAATTACAGTTTAAAAAGAAAAAATGTAGACTAAGTCAAGGGTTAAAGCCAGTATGAATTACTAAATTTTAATACTATTACTAGTATACATATACAGTAATGGCTACCAAAATAGAGGTCTTGTCGTGCTTGTTTTACTCAATCAAAATCATTATAAGCACACTACTCACTGTATGCAAATGTATGCTATTTAAGTTTTTCTTAAAAATTAAAATTCTCTCAGTAGGTATTCTCTTTGTCAGTCAGTCGAGTTTAGCACTTCAGAATTACAGGACTTCCTATATTATTCCAAAGTTTTGTGTCAGTTATAGTAACTAACTTGGTGCTGCTATTCAGATTCAGAAAAGTTACATTTTTACTCAAATATCTAGTGGTTACATTACCAAGAAAGCAAGGTTTCCAAGAGTGCAGATGGGTATGTGCTATACATCTATATGTTCTCAACAAGGACTCAGGGTTTCAGTCCACTGAACCTGGACCTTTGACTTCATTAGCATCACACTCTGGTCAGAGCAAAGGAGGTAGAATACTCACAATAAAGCAATTAATCTTTCTACCCATAGGTCATAAAAAGGACATTTCAGTTCAATCGGTATCTGAATTAACACAAATTTCAAATTCTGAAAACAAAATAAAGCACTTTTGTTTAAAATAAACAAAGTAATGTGGCTGGGGTTATAATTACTACTTCTGACCTCCCATTAATATGGTCCTAGTTTATAAAACACTCACACATATCACAAATAAGCACTGAACAAATATAATAAAAAATTGTAACTTCTTATTAGATCCCTCTTTCTAAATAAAGTACTTCAGTAACGATATTATACCCTCCATTCCTAACAATTACAATATGAACACAGTCTCATTTCTTATGTTTACCTTGCTGGTTAGGCTGTGAAGATTCTCCTCTGCCCATTTTACACTTGATTTCAAGCTCAAATTACTTGCTTTCAAATGAATTAACTGGTGTTGAGCACAAATATATGCTAGCTGCAGCCTAGCCATTTCCAGTTGTCTCTCCTCAAAGATTTCTTGATTATCACAAATAGATGGTGTTTGAATATCTAAAAGCTGAAAATTTTCTTCATTTGAACTTTCTACTACTTCATGTATACCTTGAAAGAACTGTTTTTTGGTATATAAGGTTAATGCTGCTGTGCTTTGCTCTTCCTGGCTTAGATATTTTTCCAAGGAAAAATGAGATAAAAATACCAGTGGATTTGTCCCTTGACCTAAATTAGAATGTTTGAAGAACATCATCAATTTCGTAATTCCATCAGTAAGAGCCTGAAGTTCATTATTGATCTTAGTATTCACAACATTCAGAATTCCTTGACTCTGCTTCAGCTTTTTAGTGGCTTCTTCTTCTTTAGCATTTAATCTCAGAGATTTGTGACTAGTTACTGAAGCCATCAACTGGCATTTATTACGTCGCTGAATTTTTAGGTTCTTTAATTTCTGCAGAGTTTGAACTTCATCCTCCAATTTCTCTAGCTCTTTGTCATCCAGTCTAGGTGTAGTCAAATCAGAAGTTTTACAGGTTTTAAGAGCTTCGTCCAATGCTGCTCCTTCTAGGATGGGCTTGCCTGAGTTTTGAAGGATGCTAAAAGCTTCCAATTCTTTTTCGGACAATACGTTCTGTTCATTCACATTCCCACAAAACCACTTCAAAAATGATTCATCTTCAGTGGCCTCAAACAACCAGTCAAAATCTTCTCCATTAAGAATATCAGCTTTGGGATAACCAATTTTTTTTAATGTTTCCACGAACTCGTTTCCACAACTCATGGCTTAACTACCCCAATTTTTTGTATCTGACTGATATGGGTTTATGGTGCTGACTTTCAGAAAATAAATCCAAACAGAAACAAAATTAATTTTTATGTTAAGTCCACAGAGAAGAGAAAAAAAATATTTTTAGAATCTATAATGATTCCTCCTAGGGGGGGAAGAAAACAAATATTAGACCAGAAATAAGGTGATTGTATTTTTAAAAGAAAGGTATAAATATCACATGATATTTAGGAGCCAGCTAACTGAAAGGTAGTTGTAGCTGCAACGTATGACAAAGATAAAGAGAAACATAAGCATAGGGTATTTCTTAGAAAACTACAACAGCAATGAAAACCAATTAACAAGAAAAGTCTTACTTTTTCCAAAGATAAAATGAGTTAAACTACATTACATTTTATAGAACAGTTCAGTTTTTAATTCAAAGTAAATGAATCCAAACAAATCCAAGCCACCAAGTGGCTAAGCAGCCTCTTTTTCCCTTCCCTTCCTACATAATAAAATAGAAATAAATACGGCAATTTTGCTTGAGGAATAATCAACTAAATATTTACCTCAGTGACAATTAGCAATCACCAAGCAGGCAAGCATCGATCTCCAAATAAGACCAACCTAGTGCAGAGAAAAGCAGGCTTCAGGTCAAGTACAAATATTTTGTCATTTTCGTTATTTTCATTTGTTATGTTCAACAAACCCACCACTGAATAATCAGTAACGAATCAGCCAAACCAACGACAGTGACAATGACAAGTCCTACGGATTAATGACCATGAAGTCACGACGCACCTGACAAACTAGCGGCAAAATCCCTGGCTTGTGTGACCATACATACGTTATATGACACGTACATACATTAATAAAACACATTCACAAAAGCCGCCGAATCCCGGTTAAAACTGGCTGCACAAACCCCAGATGGGTGACTGGCCCTGCGGAGCTCCGGTCCGCCCCCACCCGGCTCCGCGCCGCCGGCCGCCCCCGCCCCCTGCCACCAACACCCCCG